TAGAAAGCTCTTGTACGACAGAAAAGCAACAAGAGAGAAGTGGGTTGAAAAGCGTTGAAAGAAGCCCTTGGAATAGCATCTCTCTTTTCACGAAATCGGAGACGCGCATGCACACTCACCTTGACACGTCTCATTGTCTGGCGCTCTCTCGAATACTCCCGCAACTTAACCGCGTTTCTTTCTCTCCTCGGCGCTCCGATACGAGCCTTCGCTTTTCCTCTCCGCCACGATCATTCGATGATTTATCGACGACGATTCTTGCGCAAGTGTACACATTGTCGTTCCGCATTCCTGCAGCGCCGCGACGGGCTACGATTATCGACGCGCGCACTTGCGCGAACGGCCAAGTGAACGAAATAACGACTAAGCGCTGCAAAGGTTACGTAAAAAAGAGCGAGGATAGGTCGGAGTGGGGGCGCGCGAGTAAGTTGAAAAGTCACCTCTCACTGCTTCGGCGCGGCCTTCACGCTCGCAAGCGCGCGCGACATTTAACGGATTCGCGCGAGCGAGAGAGTTTTTCTACGCTCGTCGCGGCCGCGGCGCGCTGCAGAATGAAGAAAGTGCCGCTGCAAGCGCGACCGAGCACTGGATTACTCGTGGAAAAGCGCGCGGAGACGTCGCCGATGACCGTCTTACTTCGGGCCATCCACGCCGAGCTCCTCGATATTGCCAAAACTTCCCCAACATCTGCGTCTGCGATGTGTAACCTAATATTATCGAACTTGACTTACAATTCCATTCCTTTCATTTTTACTTTCAACGTCTCTCGGATTTTGGACTCGTGCGAACCGATCGTCGAAATTGCCCTCCAGACATGTATCTCGAGGCATACCAAACGCGTTTCGTTTTCACGCCTGTCTCGCGCGCCCCCTTTTCAAACTATAGCAGTCTAGTAAAAATTAAGCGAGCAAGAATTTTCTCTCGCAGTACCGGAGAGAAGTTTTATCTCCCTCTCTCTCTCTCTCTCCCGTCGTACATTTACTCAACGATACAATAATTTATACGGCATGCGCACACAATGTAATCAAAAAATGCAGACAAGTCAGTATTTATCTTTATTTATCTTATCGAGATAACAATCGAGAGAGAAAGAACACGAGTTGAACGATGAGCTACAACTGTCGGCATATGCATACACCAGGGGCGGTACCAGAAACAAAATATTCCATGGAAAAGAAATTTGGAAAAGAGTGCAGTCGGAGCTGATGCAGCGGAGCGAAAACACGTATAATTGAGTTTTCGGCGAGGGAAGATGGATGAGTAAGCTGGCGCTGCGGCGTCCCACGACGAGACCAACATGTCGTTCTACGTATGGTTAGAGTGCCACTAACGCCCAGGTAGACGACTATAATATAATGTCACAACGGCGGTGGCGGCGGCGGCGGCGGCGGCGGCGGCAGCAGCAGCGGCGACGACGACGACGGTAGAAAGAAATCGAGTAGCGTGCCCTTTCTCTCGCTCGGTCGCGAGCTCGAGAGCGTGAGCGGAGGATTTTTCGCATTCCAACGCGCGCCACGCTCGCGACGCGACATTGCTAAGGTCGTTCCTTAATCTCGAACGGCGTCACCGTGGGAGGCCCGTGAGTATGTGTCCCTCCTCCAAAAAAGTGTGCCGAGTACCGCTCTTTGATTCTCTTTTTCCTTCCTCGCTTTCAAGATATATATATATATATATATATATATATATATATATATATGTATGTATGTATGTATATATATAAACATCTTTATCTGCGAGCTTTTCTCATTTTTGTTTCTCGATCGACGGACAATGTTTGTATAATGGTGAAAGCCGGCTGTACACTGCGGGCTACTTAAACACACATTAGGCGCGTTTTCGGACGATTTTCGAGAAGAGAGATTGTCCTTACATTCCTGAGGCTTCGTCGCAACGCTCAAACAACATTCTCTTGCTTCTTGTCCGCCTCATAATTTCAACGCGAAAGACATACGATAACAACTAGTACTTGTGTCAGTTACTCCAAAGTCGAAAGGGATTTTGAGGTCGCCGACAATGCAACGTCTGTTCTCGTCAGGCGGGCGTACTTTTTTTGGTCCCAAGAGGAATACACCGGGAGAGGAGCATCTCTCTCCTCCTCGTTGCGCACTTTTTCCCATGTTCACTTAGACAATCAAACAGCACGCACTGCAAGTTTAACGTGGCACGGAGCGGCCTGTACGCTTCTCGCTCTCTTGTCCTCATTTGTTTATTCTAAGCGCACACCCCGAGTTCTATTTTCCGCTTCCGGCCCCGAAATATCGATTCGCCAGCGTCGGCCTCGATTGTGTCGTCGTCGGCAGCCGGCTGCTCGCCAGTGTGCAGCTGGTCGCGCTGTCTGTCTCGGCAGCTGACGCCTTTGTCTCGATCGCGAGATTCGGCGTGATCGTATCCCTGGACGTCGCCCGAGAAGACACCCGACGTGTCGTCACCGCGGCGCGCGGTTACGTTATCTACGCGTTGCGCAGTGCGCGTATAACGATTTCACGGCCTTCCGTTTTTTTTCTCTATGCGGCGATGCGCGTGCATACGACGGACGATGTTTTAGTAACACGAGTAGCATCGGTCATTTATTTTGTGCTCTCGCGCACATTCTCTCTCTCTCTCTCTCTTCTATACTTTCAAGTGTCCCCCCGGCGCGCTCGTCTCTTTATACGCGAAACCGTTATTGCTTAACGTCGCTTGCTTGCGCGACTCCTGTGTTTTCCAACGCGTTAGCTCTCAAAGTCGTTTAGCTCGCTTATAATTGCTTGATTAAATTATCGCGCGAAGGCGAGCTTGCGAGGCAGCGCGACACTCGTGCGTTGAACAACAAAGGAAATTCGCGCAGCCGATATCGAAAGCTAATTGAAGATCGAGCAGTCTGCTGGCCCACGCGACGACCGATGAGTAAGTGCATTATCTGTGCAGGCGCTACGAAAGAAGAGCTCGCAGGCAGATGCCAATCGAAATTCGTGGAAGGAGAAGTATGCAGAAATAATCGGCGACACGAACAGCAGTGGGAGGAGTGCTATATAATGAATGGCAGCAGGGCGGCGATGCGTGACGGGGTAGGCGACCTTCAGCCGCGACTGATTATGCTGCTTTGCCACCGCCGCCGCCGCCGCCGCCGCCGCCACTGCTCGAGTAATTTACGGTTAGCTCCTGTCCATCCCAGCGGCGGAAACTGAACGAGGTCGAGAATACTCGTGTGACCTCTCGTGACTCCTACCCTTTATCTAGGCGCGCGGGCAGACGGCGAGAGAGAGAAACAATGCCCGATGCTAATGGGCTCAGTAGGACGAGCACGACGCGATCGATGCCCCAGAGATCGATGAAATTCGGACGCCAGCAGTTGAGCGCTTGTTAGAACGACGCCAGCTGAGGATGCACATAATGGCCAGATGTTTTATCCAGGTTTTGTAACTGCATGCGGGCTTTCAAGGGGAGCAGCGATGCCTCGTGCGCGTCGATCTACACCAAGTAGAGCTTCTGGCGCCGCGGACTTGCAGTTTATATTGGGGCAATGAGATGAATTATAGCTGCCGGAAGATTTTGCCTTCTTTTTTATGACACTGCACAATTGGACCAAATCCAATTTCTGATTTTCTTTTCTTTGCCGTCAGTCAAGCGACGATCAGTTGACTACGTCTGATTGTTTTCTCGTAAAGATCTAATAAAAGTCATCGCGTATTTTAACCAAGGAGCGCTTAACGCGAAAAGCTAGAAAAGATACGTGCGCGCTTGCGTGTATATACTCATTAAACTATGCGAGTTTGAGTACGTTCGACCATGTATTTACAAAACTACCAGACATTTTCAAATTCCTGGTATTTTCGATCAACTTTCCTAAGCTTACGTATAAATGTCATTACATTCATAAAAATACGCGTAAGCTCATAATGTCGAAAGGAAATAAAAAAAAAAGCATTCCAGTTTCGCCGTACAATTGATATCTGCTGTAGCCAGTACTTAATTTGAGAACAATGCGAAGCCTATATAGTAAAGTGACAATTGCGTCCTTCGTGACAACGTGAATAACATAAGCGCGCACGCCGTGACTTTGAAATTCATTACATCACATTTGAAAAAGAAAGAACAGCAGAAAAAGAAAATACGTAGGTAAAGGCAAGATAATTACTCGGCAGATTTCTCTAGAGTGGCGCGCGAGGAGAGCGGCATCGTCGTTCTCTCTCACGCTCTTTTCTCGACAGGTTAAAATTAGCCAATAAATCAAGCAAAATAACGAACGAACGTCCCTTCGTCCGGTTGGTGCGGCATGGAACTAAAACGCACCAGAAAACTAGACTCTCTCTTTCACGCTTCAGCCCCGCGCGCCGAGAGTAAAGGCTCTAAAACGTCAAACGGACGCGTACGGAGCGCGCGAGGAGAGCAGCGAAGAAGCGAAGCGCAAGCGGGGGCATCGCACCGTGTCGGCAGAGTGGCTAGAGACGATGCCCGCGGAGGATTTTACGAGTGCTCGTAACGCAAAGCGCAGCCTTGAACTTTTCCAATTCCCCCCTGCACCACACGCCTCCGAGGGTGCAGATGTGCTTGCCCATGCACGAACTGTTCAACGACAGCACCAAACACGCAATAATAGTAACGCCAATAGTGTCGTTGCTGTACTCGCCAATCGGCTACGACTCCTTTCGCACGCACAATGGAATTAAGCACGCTCAGTGCAATTAGGCTCTACTGTACACACGCGCACACTATTCAAGTGGGCATGTAGCAGTCAGACAGCTCGAGCAAAGTTTAAATGGTGTGAGTGAGAGCGCGCGCACTTTAACCCCTTCTTGATGAGAACAAACGGTCGGTCGAGCGCGATTTCGCAACGCCAATAATTCATCGTTTAAAAAGCCCCAAGAGAGGTTTCGATTTGCAACCGAACGCTCCTAACACATACTATTTATACGTATACGCATGTCCCTAGCAGTCCTTTAAATCACTCGTCTACTGTATGCACACTGCGAGGAGGATAAACGATAACGAACCGCCTTCACTGATAATGAAAAACTCACCTGGCGAACGGCTGCTCCTCAACTTCGTAAAGCTCCTCGAGACTTTGCTTAGCGAGGAGTCGCTCGAGTCTTTCGGCCGTTGGAGCAAGGTGGCCAGGGATGCCGGTCGTCTCGAACAAACCCTCACCCGCCATCGCAAGTCAAGTTCGAAGAACAAACCAACGACTCCTCGCGAACAATGTCGTCGTGATAGTTTTTTCTGGACCTCTGGGAGAACGAGCGCACTTTTGGATGGACTTTCTAAGATCTCAAACAAAGTATGAAGAGGAGCAAAATCGGAGAATGTTTGTTTACACACACTCGCGACTGCGACGACAACTCGAATGATGATTGTAGTACTCGCGCTGCTGCATCTTGCCACGTTCACAGGCTACACGAGACTACCAGCCTAGGAAGGTTCGGCGCTCCATACCACCGAGAGAGAGAGAGAGAGAGAGAGAGAGAGAGAGAGAGAGAGAGAGAGAGAGAGAGCGCGCGCCGATGGAAGGTGGAGAGGAGAGACATTGGGTGGGGGTATATAGTCTCTTTGTCGGCTGTATGCTTTCTCGGCTGTGATCGGCCACACTCGGCAAGTTCGTTAGCTGTAGAGCGCCTTTCATATGCTGTTGCCGTGCGCTGCCTGCTGCTGCTGCGTGGCCGTGCAGCCTGCCAGGACCTTTTATGCGTTAGGCTCACTTTGCAATGCGACAAGGGATATATAGGACCCTATGTCGTTATTGCCTGTGGTTTCCCCGGGTACGCTTGATTCGATGATTTATTATGGGGGATCTGGACGTGCGATTAATCGTGTAATTTTGGAGCAACCGAATGTCTAGCATTAATTTATATATGTTGCAAGGTTTTTAAATTTCAGATTGGCATTTAAAACAAGGTCTCTCAGCGTGTAACTCTCTCTCTCTCTTTCTCTCTCTCTCTCTCTCTCTGTTTAAAGAAGTATTTCAAAATATTTACACTTGATCAAATTGATCTATTTGAACAAATTGATCGCGATGTAAATTTCAATAAAATGTCAAGATAAATTGACAAATAAAAAATACTTATCAGTGCCGTTGAAGAAAATGTGACTTGTACAATGCGAGCGTTTGCCACTAAAATTTCTATTACAATATAGAAAAAAGCTTTTGATAGTAGACGTTATAATCCACGTAGATTTACGATGAGCGAACTATTGTGCAAACACTAATGCCATTACTGGTAAGCCAATATCGTTAACATTTATTGGGGTGCAGCAGAAGCGAAGGGAACCATGGCAGCCTGCCAAAGTCATAAAACAATTCAAAAAGTTTTGAAACTGAGCAGAGCAGAACACTTGGAGAAAATTGTCCGAATGGGCTGCGGACGCGCCGCTCTAACCGTTTTTGGTTTTAGGGGCTTTTCCTCGCAGGTTAGCGCTGATTGTTGGCTGCATTAGCGAAGTGGACATCAATCGGGATCACTAAAAAACAATGGTCTGCCACCAGCAACTGCTGCGCAATGGTCGCGGAACCTTTATTGCCTTAGACCCTTTTTTTCCTCTTCTTCTGACTGCCTGCGTACGTCTCTCTTCTCTTCCCTGGGGAAACATCTGCACAATCGATCTGGTGTGGCGCGGCCGAAAAGAAAGAGAACGAAATTCTAAAGAATACGTACTCGCACGCGTCTTTCGCTTCGTCTGAGAGGTGTCCGTTTTGACACTCGCCGAGAGGCACGCAACGAAACCCTCGTGCACGATGTGCGATATTACACGTACAATAAAAAGTACGCGAGTTTCGTCATCTTTCTTTGCTTCTCGTCTCGCGGCTTTTACTTGAGTCATCAGAACATACGTCCGTTACCTGTGTGAGTGTGTCTTTTTCGATTCCTTGCTGCTACACGTGTTTATTTGATGTTATACTTGAAAATAGAGCACGGCAATCGGAATTTTAGGCTGTTACGGATCGCGCGATTTTCATCATTCCGACAAGCAGAATGCCAGTGTGGTTTGTTGTGCCTCCGTATTGTTTTACTCACCGAGTAAACTTGACGCTCGATTTATTTTGACGCAACGAGTTTGAAGAAAATTGGAACTCCAAATAGATATTTCATCGAACTGTACAGAGCGTGCACGTTTATTTTCACCGGTTTCGCTCTTCTTCTCGGACAAATATTTTAATCCTCCACAATACGTTAATCCTTTCCGAGAGTACGACTTCCCCCGGAATAAAATGTAAATTTTCTGTTTATCTTTTAATCTTGAAAACAGGTGTTCACTCTGACAAATGAATAAGCGCAGTTTTACGAGCTTGTTTTTAATGTAAAATGCATTCAGGTTCGAAAAGAAGCAAGAGCCAAAAATATAATATATAACACAACAATGTACATGACTTTGGCAAAAGTCACATAAAATTTTAGACGCGTTAAGATTGTTAATTTGCACGAGCCCTCTTACGGCCTACCAAAGTATAAAATTTATAATTTAAGATAAAGGCACGAGCATCAGAATAATCGCCATTCAAATAAAAGCCAGACTCCAAAAGTGTACGTACGGCGAAGAAGAAAGAAAAAGACAAGGAACGACCACCTGCTCGTAATGTGGCCCGCAACCACCTCGCAGAGCTCGCGCAACTGTAGATGAAGCCTGAGGCCTATCCAGCTGGCTCTCGCTTCGCCGCTGCCGGACGCTTTCGGCGGGTCCGTGTGTCGGAACGACGGTTGAGAGAGAGAGAAGGGGACACGTGTTGGGACCTGCTGCAGCGAATTTCGGGCTCTAAAACGCGACGACGCCGATTTTTATAGGCGATCCTTTGTTCCCCAATGGATGCGCGCAGCACTGGTTCCTGCAAAAACGCAGTTTGGCGCGCGCAGAAGATTCCTTAAGGATCGATAAGTTGAGTCAGTGGGTTTATCGATATCTGTGTCATCGTGCTCTGCCCACGAAAAATCCGTGGCTTTGATTTAATCCTCGCGCTCGTGGAAAAAAAGGCGAACGACCAAGTATCCGCTAATGGATCTAAATGCGCGCGAGAGAGCCCGGTCGTCGGCGAGCGAGCGGTAAAAAAAGGAGCAGCAGCGAGTACAGCATCGCCAAGGGGATATAATATTTCATAGCTCGCTAGCTTAGCCTCGCTATCGCGCGGAGATCGCAACTCACGACTAGGCAGCGCAGCTGAAAAAGCGACTCGGTGCTGCACTACCGTGCGCGCATTCCTCGCGAGCTGTACGCGTTTGCAGCCTCGCGAGCTGCCACGCTGAGGGATCGTCGCCGCTAAGAAAGCGAAATTTGTGTTATGCCGCGACCAGGCTTGTCGTCCTCCTCTCCTCGCCACCGCGATACTACACGCCTGTGTTTCAACGATCCTTTCCCCGCGACACGCCTCCGTTCTCGTACTTCCGATGGAAATGCTTTTCCATTGTGCACATGCCGAAACGTCCTTTTTTAGTTTCCCGCCGTGGACGATCGTTTTTTCCTTTCCCAAGCCGATCGCTTCATTCCTCGTCGCCTGAGACGCGCCGTCCCTCTCGATCGTTCGTCGCAACATTTTTCAAATCACAAGGAGACAATCTCGAAAACGAAAATAGTCCTTTTGTGTAAAAACGTGAATTTCCTGCGAGAAGCCGTCGTGTCATGACTTTCAGTTTTTCAAGAGGGAGAGAAAGAGAGAGAGAGAGAGAGAGAGAGAAGAGGGAGAAGATACATTTGAGAAATCTCTCTCGCGCTCGAAGGACGGAGTTAAAGCAGCGCCAGCAGCAGGCAGCGTTTAAGGTGAAGGTTAAGGAATGCCGCGGTAGCAGCAGCACGCAACTCTCTGTACTGCGAATTTGCAGAGCGTTTTGCGTAACGTCCTGTTGCGTTGCTTGTTTTTTCGCTCTTTTTTATTTTTTCCTTTTCGCTTTCGGAAGTACACGAGCGTCGTTCGACATTTCTTTGCAGCTGAAAAAACGGAATCGCATGCGCTGCTAGAGCGCACGCTGAGCACGCGCTCGGAGAAAGTATTATATATAGACAAGGTTTTGTCGCTGTTGCGTTGCGCAACGCCCAACGATCGCGATACGCGCGCATACGCAAGGAGCCGCTCATCCCCATGAGAAAGCCAAGCGTAGAGTACTCGGCTGCGCGGCTTGGCTCGCATTGGGAGAGGTCTTCTGGTTCCGCGAACGGTATGACGGGGAGGCTCCCAACAGCAGCAGCACCATCACCAAAGGGCTTCCCGGAAAGCGCGTCTTCATCGCCGGTCCCTCTTTTTATAGTCGGCCAGTCGGGTGTTTGTATTGACGGCGCGCGCAAGAGGAGGCCGACAGCGCGTTAATTTAGTAAAAGACGCCGGCGCATCTTGGGCGGCCGGCTCTGCTTTTCCGGAAAAGCACGAGACTTGGCTGGGGGCGATCGATCGAAGCGCAGGCCGAGCAGATTGGCCGGCTGCGCCGATCGTCCTTGACCTCGTTAGCGCGTCGCCGTAGGTAGGATTGTCGTTATCGCTCGGCGACGCGCAGGCGCGTCGAATGCTCCGCGCTGTGCAATTACAAAGCCATAAATATCGACGGGTGCGCGTCGCGTAATTCTAATAATTCGCAAGGCGCTCGGCCGGTCGGCATTAGAATAGACGCGGCGGGCCTTTCACTAGTTGCTCCGCTGCTGATCAGCGCGCGGCGCCGATCGGCCAGCGATCAAATGTGTATCGACCGCGAGACGACGCCGAGAGTGGCTCGTTGCAAAACCGCGCGTTGTGCAAGCCGCGCGGTCGACCGCCGCGAGGACAGCCGCCGCCGCCGCCGCCGCCACGCCGCGCCTCGCCCCGCGGATTTTCGTCGCGCGGGCAGCGAGTCGCCATGGCCGATCGCGCGAGCCGAGCCGAGCGGCGTGGGCGTGCGAGCCTCGGCCGTCAAATAAATCGCGACTCGGCGTCGGCGCTCGCGAGGCGTTGTCTTGTCGCGCGCTCCCCCGCGACAGGCGGAGTCGGTGCACGCGGCATTGTCCGAGCGGCGAGAAGACCGCGCCGATTCCGCGGCCTCTCGCCTCCTCGCCTCGCCTGTCCTAATAAGGCAGGCGCCGCGAGAGCCCGCGCGATATCGCAACGGCCCACGACATCGCCGTTCAGCCGATGTTTTCACGACCGGCAATAGGCGCTGCACCGGAGCGGACGTTGACAGGTTGCCTATCGCGGGGGGCAAGGACGGCCGAGGTCGCGCGCGTACAGCTCTCTCGCGCGCCCAGACGGGTTTGCTCGGGAGCGCTCAGGACGCCGCTGCATATCCTGCGGGGGCAGGAAGTCGCCTCTTACTCGCGAGAGGCGGCAGGCAGCCCCTTTGCTTCGCGGCCAGCGCCGCCGGCGCACGGCTCGTTACCAGCGCGCCACTTTTTCGGAGAGCGCCTAGGCTAATCAGAGGATGTACAGCTGGGGAATGGCGAATTCGTCGCCGCCGCGCTCTCTTTGCGCCCGCCTTTCGATGCGCGGGAGCTCTTCTGCGGCGCTAATGCTACGGCGGTCCGTTCTCCCGGCCAAATATCTTTGTAGCGATTGTCGCTTGAATCGAGCTCGCGACAAATATATAGATGGCATAACGTCGAT